TCGGCGCGAAAGGAAAAGAGAGTAAAGTGCCTCCGTGTGTGTGTGTGTGTGTGTGTGTGTGTGTGTGTGTGTGTGTGTGTACGTGCTCATTTTTTTTTTTTGGTTGCACAAATGTTTATACAGTACAATCCATTTCGTGTATTTCACCTGTGTAAGATTTTTCCCCCCTTTTCAAATAAAAATGTACCTTCCATTTCATGGCTCACTGCTCTTCAATCCCGCCCCAAAATGAATTGCCCAAAAAAATTTTTTATATATATATATATATATATATATGCTTTGCCGCAATTAAATACCATTTTTATGAGCAAATTTATTTTTTTTAAACAATTACTCAATTTTAAGTACTTTACTCAATGAAAAATGTTTATAAACACAAAATATGTTGACTATATTTTTACAAAGTACGGTATACTTTATGTGTGTGTGTGTATATATATATATATATATATATATATATATATAGAATAGAATTATGTCCATTTTATGATTAAAAACTAAGCGTGAAAAACAAAATTGTATTTTTGCATTTATGTCACAAAAAAAAAAAACTAAGCCATGTCACAAGGAAATATCAATATTTAAATGTTTAAAATGTATTTTTGAAAGCCAAATATGTTAACATTAAAAATGTACCTGTGAAAATCATTCGGACTCGTGATTAAAGAGAATGATTTTTAATTTCTATTTTTATAATGGCTATGTAGTAAAAATGTGGCACGTCATATTCTGTTTGCATTAGACTCATCCAGTCACTTGTTAATGTTAACTGTATTTAAATTTTTATTTTTTTTTTTGGCACACATTTTGAATGTGTGATGGATGCATGAGTAGTAATCATTGTATTTTGCACTTATGAAAGGTAGTAGTCATATTTAATCCCTTTTCCTCCCATTTCCCACATCCATTGAAGACATTCCAAGGCATCACCTGCAGGACGGCAGAGTGTGCCGCCTTCGAGGACTTGTTACGTAACAGTCATCGTGCACTTCACGCATGTTGACACAAAGGTGCCCCGCCGCCATTGGTGAGAGGGTGATCATAAGTCAGGAACTAATTGCTGATTGGCTACTTGGTAGTCAGACGCTAAGAGCAACGGTTGTGTCAGTGTGTGTTCATTTTTTGGAAAGGTTGAACTGCAGTAACCTCCAGTCATGCAAGCACGTTGGTGGCTTGTGGTGAGTTAATATTGCTACACATCACGCCACACGGAGCAGCAGCCTGAGTCATGATTCTCTTCTTGGGCTGCAAGCACTGAACTGTAACCCCAGGATATTAGAATGATGGCTTCAATGCAAATCTTTATTTAGTGAGCAAAGTGTCAGTTTTAATACAAACTCCCACATCTGGGATGAGCTTGAACATGACCAAGTCATGTAATGGTTGTAGTAATTTTCCCCTAAAAGCCACCCCTGCTCTGAAATGTGACACAAGGACTGCATTCATCCATCTATCGGGGTTGATGTCATAAAGTTCTGTGCGCCCGCCTACATGCCGGTAGGCCTCCCTTGCATTCCTCCCTTGTCCTATGTAAATCCATCAATGCCATTTTTAGACTTCTTCGGTCATAAGTACACTTTGTGCCATATTTTTACACAATGGTGCTGGACGTCAACAACATTTTACTGTCAGTCGGCAAAATTCCTCAGGGACACACAAACAAGAATGACACGCGTCTTCAAAATATTGTGAACTTTATTTCCGAACTGAGCAGTTTGACAAAACAATTCAAGACTTCAACCTTTTTGCGATCCCTCGTCGCTTTCGGAGCGACCTTAATTTGGGGGTAGCTGCATGCACAGCGTGTGGCATGGCCAACCTGTTGGCACATTCGTTGGGGGAGACGTGGAGGGCCGAATTTTGGACGTGATATTTGTTATCAAAGTCCCCCAATGTTATTTAAGTGCTACTTTTAATTCCAATGCCAACTATGCCCCTGTAAACATGGACCTTGTTTTCATTTTAGCGTATTTTTGTCGGGACAGAACGGGTGACCATCAGGAATGAATTCAAGTCATAAGGCATTTGGTAGTTTCCTGACATTGTTTTTAAAGGTGGATCGGGGGCGGACAAACTCAACGGGTGCTCCAATTCCAGCTAGAAGATAAGAAATGGGTTTTGAAGGCTTGCGGTTCTTATCTGAGCGATGCAATTTCAGTCGGTACCAAAAAAATAACTCAACAATAAATACATAAATAAGTTCGTAGAAGTATTCTGTAAAACCCGACACTCAAAAGGGGGTTTGAGGTTCACGCCGCTCGCCGACAAAGCATGTACCATCATCATCATGCATGGATGGCCGCACGGTCTCATGACCCGGCTGCTACATGGACCGGTGGAGATGTTGCATAAAATGTCGCGAGTGGAAACAGCCACGAGAATATCCAAAAACATCCACAAAGCGCATTGAAAAAGAAAAAAATAATGGCACTAGATAAACGGCTTTATCGTTAAATTTCACGACAAAAGGAACCATTTTCTACGCGTTTGGTTTAGTCTCGAAAGTTTGGATTGTCTTTTTTTTTTTTTTTTAAACCAAACGATGCTAACTAGCTTTATTGTGTAGGATAATGTGACTACTTTAGCAAACTTTGAAAACACAGCAAAGATTTTTTTTTTCAAATGAATTCACTTCAAATCCCAAACACTTTTGCCAAAGACCTAAGCCCAATTGAACGTTAGAAGGCTGAGAGCTTAGCTAAAACGTGTTTTTTTTTTTTTTTAATCGGCTTCACAAATTTGAGTTACAGCTACGAAATACCACAAAAACAAGCAAAAATTTGTTCGCGTCCACCCCCCTCCCTCCCGTGAAGCCGATTTAAGACTCCACGTGGTGGATGAAGAGATGAAACGCCATCCAAAAAAAATGACTTGTGGAGGTTTTTATTTTCCGTTTCAAGCTCGGCGAGGTCTGGCTGCTTCGATTTTTTTTTTTTTAGCCACTGCGGTAGCTGCCGTCGCCCGTCCGCTGCACTCGCGCCAACACCATCTCGTGGGACACTCGCTTGCGGTCCTTGGCGAGGCCCAGGAAGCACATCAGGTCGATGAAGCAGGTGGTCAGGTTGAACTTGCAGCCGAACTCGCTGGTGGCGTAGTCGTAGGGGAACGTGTGGTGGTAGTTGTGGAATCCTTCGCCTGGACCAAAATACATCGGGACACTTTATTATAACGCGGAAGGGCTCGGAATGGAAAAATTAATACCCGTGATTCTTTAGATTTACGAGGCGATGCTAGTTTCCTGTTAGCCTGTCAACAGGATTTTACATTGGCTTTCGCATTAGCACTGTGCATGTTTTTAAAACAAGGCAAATTTCAATTGATTGCCCAGCTGGAGGAATGTAGGGTTTGTGAAGCCTGGAAGAGCAAACGCAACGTGCTGCCGTTCGCTACCATGCCTGCTTGCGTTGTGTCATACCTATGGCGCTAAACGTGACAAACTTGTTCTCCCGGGGGTTGATGCCCTGGTCGTACGGCCGGTTGCCCCACATGTGCGCGGCGCTGTTGACCAGCCAGGTGGCGTTGAGCACCAGCGTGTAGCGCAGTAGCGCCGGCACAAAGTAGGCCACCCGCAGGGACTCGCCCCAAAAGTACCAAGGCACGAACATTGGCACGAAGAAGCACATGAGCACCACCGACAGCTTGTAGTGTCTGTTAGGAGGAAAGAGACGGAAATGAATGTATATTTCCTTATGTCGAAGGGCGGCATCGCTGTTGTCATTGTGTGTCAATGCCTGCATGCTTGAATTACCTTGTGAAACCAGACTGGCAGCATGTAGCCTCGGCTCTATATTGTTAATGCACCTCTTTACGAAAGCACCTTACAGATGTGCTTAGGCCACACGTAGTAATCCATACTGATTGTTCTGCTTTGTAACATTAAAAAAAAAATAATAATAAAAAAAGAGGTGCAAAACCATACTCACTTCCTCTGAAACATGACCACCTTGTCAGCCAGCAAGTCGTGAAGCTCCAGCTTGCGTCCCTTCTCGATAACGTCGGGATGTTTGCGCACGAGCAGCCAGCCAATGTGGGCAAAGAAGAAGCCGCGCACGGCGTTGTGCGGGTCGGCGTCCGTCTCAGAGTACTTGTGGTGGACCCTGTGGTCGCGGGCCCACTCATAGATGTCATTCTGCTCGGGTTGGGGTGCAAATGTTTTAGAATGAATGGCCAAAGTCTGACAGTAGTACCGGTATGTTTTTTTTTTTTGTTGTTTTTTGGTACCTGAAAGGACATGGAGTTGGCCACGGCCAGGAAGATCCTTAAAGGTAGAGTGGCCTTGTAGGATCTGTGACTCCACAGGCGGTGAGCGCCTGCTGTCACTCCTAAAGCACTTATCAAAAAGCAAAGTGCGGCTGCAAAGAGACAAAACACACATCAACGTGCAATCCCGAAAGCTCTCCAATAGCTTCATTACATGACTATTTTTTTTTTTTTTTTAATCATTAGCTGCTGAGTCAATTCCAAACATTTTTAGGGGCGTGACAAATATTCCCCTTGAGTGTTCACTACGGCTTTCTTTATTTCAAGGCCGATCCGTGTTTCGCATTCAACTGAATAAGCGGCGAGTCAAGGCATGTCACACAGTCGTGTGAACTGAGTCATAAAGTTGCACATGATCACTGACTGACCGCATTGCGTTTGTTTTATTCACGATTCACACGGGGCAAATGCAACGTGCAGGTTCGCACTGAGCTGGGCGTTGAATCCATTTTGTCTGTTATCGGAGTTTGTTTGCCAGGACTTTAAAATTTGATTTTAAGCGTCTTCTCTAGTTCAAAGCGCGTCCCGACTGTCGTATACTGCTTGCGATTTGGGCCCTATATATTCGGCAACAGGATGATGTCATCGTTCATCAAAGACTTTTAAGAGCTCCTGTGCAGTTGACACTGGAGCAAAGTTCACCAACCCTCTCAAGCCTCACAGATGCCACAAAAACGGACTTGGTTGTATCCCTTTGTTCATGGTTATGATAACCACAGGGATAAGTTTAATTCCATGATCCACTATTTCCTCCAGGGAGAATATTTTGAAACTCAAACAAATGGGACCAACATCCAACTTACACGCTCCCACAGAACAGCCTTTAATGGTATATATTAATATGCAATCGTGAAATGTTACTTTCTTTTATTTAAGTGTGGGTCTAGTTTCTATTATTTCCAATGGATGACCCAACTGACAACCTTTTCCAACAGAAAAATAATTTGAAAGCAACGAGACTGATTACGCCCTCCTCGCTTGTCATCAAAAAGAGTTAAAAGAAAATAAGAATGCCTCACCAAGGCCAGTTAGATCCCCACATTTTAGTTTCTAAGCTTTCCTTTGTCGAATGATTTCTGCCCTTGTTTGACATTTAAGTTTAAATATGTTTGGACTTACTTATACGGCCACTGAGGCCACAATTTGACCAGTTAACATTAATCCCAAATTTCTTTCAAAGCCAAGATACTGTTTAAAGTGTTTCAACAGCGCCAGTTTGGTAGTTCCAAGGACCAGTATTTGCAAACTGGCTTGAAACTCCCAACAAATGGGACCAGCATCCACCTTTCACGGTTCCACTGAACATCATAGCACCCAGACTGTGATTTCAATGATTGATCCATCCATCCATCCATTTTCTAATCCACTACTCCTCACAAGGGTCGCGGGCGTGCTGGAGCCTACCCCAGCCGTCTTTGGATGGTAGGCGGGGTACACCCTGAACTGATTGCCAGCCAATCGCAGGGCACACATAGACAAACGACCATCTGTGCTCAAACTCACACGCAGGGACAAGTTAGAGTGCCCAATCAAACTGCTATGCATGTTTTTGGAATGTGGGGGTGGGGGGGGGGCGGAGTACCCAGAGAAAACCCAGGAAGGCGGGAATCGAACCCTGCACCTCTGCACTGTGGGGTCGCAGTGCCGCCTAAATGATTTATACCAACCCATATTATGACGTTTGACAGACATTCCCAAATCATGCACTTTGCTACCATTAAACCGAGTGTAATCCCTTGTCTGTGGCATGCCGGTTTGAGAAATGGATAAAAAACATTATTGTGAGTGAACAAACAGGAGGCTAGAAGGCACGACAGGAGTGCACTTACACCACAACAGCGTGGCGAGCGAGGCGCTGGGGACGAGGAGCACGCCGTACAGGGCACCTATATGCAACAGGGTCATGAGGATAACGTTCCTCCACACGACGATCCTCGGCGGCTTGGGGCCTTGCTTCTCCTCGTACGTGTGGTCGAACGCGTCTTCCCTGCAGGGGGCCTCCATCGGAGAGTCGCTGCTGGATGCGGGCTGTTGTTGTTGTTTCTGTTTTTGCTCCTCCGCTTCCGTCATCGCGGTTGGTGTCTGTCAGGTTTGGCTGGATAAATGCTCTTCGGCCACCACGGAAAAATGCAAAACGAAGACAACAGTTAGAACGGTTGCTAGTCCAATGGACGGGGAAAAGGCGACAGATACGGTGATGCTCAAGCCACTCGGGATCGTTGCGTAACGTCGATATGACAGACTCCTTGAAAATAAGGGAGACCGGGGGGAGCTGAAGACAACTTTAACAACTCACCGAAGGCGGGATTAAAGACGCCTTTGAAGCGGTGATAGCCAGCCGTTCGTCTTGCTTTAACGGAAAATAAAAGAGAAGAGAGAGAAGTGTGTCGCATCAAAACCAAAAAGGGATGGGGAAGCGCGAGGTGCTTCTGCGGCTCCGCGGCCAATCGGCGTGCAGCTCCCTGCTCACTTGCCGCTCTCTGATTGGCTGCCGGGCCATCTGCTGTTCGCCACCTCTTATTCGCTTTCCATCCAGATGTGTGATTATTAGGCTCGTGTAACCCCCCCTCCCTACATACGCACACGCACACACACACACACACCCTTCCCAATCACACTGTCACACGCGCGCCAAATGCCCCACACCAACAGGCACTCGCGCGTGGGATGAAAAGTGTGACGTCACAAGCACCAGAACATTTAAATTAGGAACGCCTGCAACAGTACGTAAACGCCCGTGCATATCGACGTACAAGTTTGGTATACCGGCACGATCCAATCACCTTTGAAATCAAATTGGAATATTTTTCTTTTTGATTATTGATTTTATCATGGTGTTGATTTTGTTAGTTGTATCAATTTGTACTCATTTTTGTGGTATTGATTTCATTTCACACTTTGTAATTAGTTATTCTGGATTTATTTTCATTTTTTACTGTTTGTTTTACATTTTTCAATTTGATCTTTTCATTGTATTCACATTTTATTATTTTAATTGTTGTTTTATGTTTGTAGTTACTTGTGAGGATTTTTGTTTTGATGTGCATTCTTCATTTTATGTTATATTGTTTGATTGAATATTGATTTCACCTGTGCATTTTTTTCTTGTGGTGTTATTTGTTTTAATGGATTGAAATGGCAGCACGGTGTTTGGTTGGCATGTCTCAAATCAAGTTTGGGGTTCAAATCCTGGCTCCAACCTTCCTGTGTGGACTTTGCTTGTTCTCCCTGTGCTTGTGTGTGTTTTCTGCAGGTACCCCGGCTTCATTCCACATTCAAATATGTCCAGCGATTGCCTGGGAGTGAGCCAGTCCACCGTGTACCCTGGCTCTTACCCAAAGTAAGCTGGGGTGGGTATTTTTTATAAAGGATTTTTATGTTAATTATTTGTGTTAATTCTTTTTATTCATCTTAGTGTATCTTGTATTTGTATTTACACCACTCACAAAAAGGAATATTGGGCTTACAGATGAAATTGAAGTGTACTATAACTTTCACCAAGGAACTTCATTTGACCTTCTCGAAACTTTTGAATACAAATGTCCAAACATTCAGTGTTTCAGTGCTTTTTCTATGACTATACTACCGAGGAGCTGAACAGCAAAATTCACAACAGGTGTTTGAACCATGAATCGCCCAGTAAATTTGCAAGGACGTCTACTTTAATGCCTTTTTTTTGTGTGTGTGTGTGACTCTTCCCCTCTTATCTATATTGCAATCTGCTGATCACACACTAACACTAAGCCAGTGACTCCCAACCCGTGGGCTATGGCAGTAGCAGATTAGTTGACCATGGGAGAATAATAAGGTGTGCTGCAAAAAAAGTATCCAATTCCACTCAACTGTTTGAAAAATATTTACTACTACAACTAATGTATATTTATTTAACTATGTAGCAATGTATAGTGACAGGCAGAACAAATAAATGCTCTTCCACTATGTGGCATGAAGTTCAATAAACCTGCGTGTTAACTTTTTGTTAAATTGTTGTGAGGTTTTGGGGGTTAATGTAAAATATGTGCTTTGGTTCAATAAAGGTTGGGACTACTGTAATCTAAATTCAGTGACCACTTCCCACAGAGGGCATCTGTTTAAATGCCGATTCGAACTGAACCAGGAAATTTACTTGATTCATGCTACTCAAATGCATCAATTATGCAATAAAATAAAACAACCACAGCAAAAATAATAGGAACTCTCACTATACCGTGTCTTTGAATTTATGGTTGAAATTATGAAGGATTACTAGGGCCACATTTTATTTATTTGTATGTTTGCAAGCACTGTTAATATGAGACATCCCGGTCTTTGACCTACATTTTTTGTTTTTAAGGATTTGTCTCCCTCTAGTGGATGACTTAACCCACTACACTATTGGTCACCCTTGCTCACTGTGCTAACCTATTTCTTGAAGTCTCCAGCTATGTACAGAATGAGAAAGGTTGTAAAAAAGACATCCACGACCTTGCGTTTTCCAACGTCACCGTGCGCATGACGTCATCGCACCTCTTTATCGACTTCCGGTCCTGCCGCTAACCCACCGAGCTCCATCACCATGGAGGTGAACCGGGATGAGGCGGAGCGGTGCATCGACATCGCCGCCGCGGCGCTGGGCAGCGAGCAGCCGGACAAGGCGAGGAGGTTCCTGGAGAAGGCCCAGAGGCTCTTCCCCACCGAGAAGGCGAGGGGTGAGTCGGACCTGCCAGCACTTGAACGCATCACCTGCTTTTTGCATGGATGTCTATGTGGCGATACAGTATGATGTACAGTATGTTTGGGGAGGGGGCGGGGGGTGGAATAGTACCACTGGGATATTAACTGACCCAGGACGCTATCACAACCCATAAATATCCTTCAGTACACGTAAATGCATATTTTTTTTAAATCAGTTCATTCAACATTAATGCTTGGACCAGAGGCCATTTTGGACAGCTCGTGCTGGAACAGTTTGGGTCACAGCAGAATAAATTGCGGTCTTGGAGGAAGTTGAGGAAAAACGAGCTGATCAAACAGCACTGAGATGTTGAAGTTCCCACCCTTTATTGAGTCAAGGCACATGTGTAATATTGGGAAAAATGTCACTAAAAAGTGCATTTATATTGGACCCCGTTTTCCACGGGGATTCGTTGCATACTCGATAGGTGAGAATCAGCCACATGTTTTCATTAATACTCTAGCTTTATCCATTCATCCATTCATTGCTTAAAATATGTTGAAAGTGTGTAAAATACATTCGAATCTTTCCTTAGTTTATTTGTCACTCCCATTTGAAGTTTATTGTAAATTTGACAAATAAGAAAAATAACTAATTAAGAATTGTGTATTTTAACACCAAAATGTTCAACCAAGCCACATCATTTCAAGATAGTTTTGCCCCACCTATTTAGTTCATCTACTGTAGTTGCAAATATTTTTCAAAACCTAGCTTTCAATGTTCAGTGAAAAGCTTGCCTCTGAAACACCCAAAGACGCCACAAGGCGGCGCCAAGTCCCTTTCTTATAGAAGAAGAGTCAATTTCTTGTTCGTTGTTTGTTTTTGTTTTTTACTGAGGAGAAAACCTAGGAGGAAATGGACAAATATTATCTACGTCGTTATTGTTTGTCCTTAGTGCTGCTGGAGCTCATCTCCAAGAACGGCTTCACACCCAGACAAGACGCACACGTAGACTTGAATGGAGACTCAGGGCCTCGACTACGACAGAACCAAAGTGACCATAATAGACCTCAAGAGAACCCCTCAGATACCTCAAAGTCCTACACCGCGGAGCAGGTGGCTGCTGTGCGAAGGTAACTAATCTATCTACAAAAAAAATAATAATAATTAAATACAAAAAAGAAAAACAATAAATATAAATACTATGTAACTACAAGCACAATAATAAATGTCTTGTTGAATGAATCCCTGTGTTCTTGTTGCAGGATCAAGCAATGCAAAGATTTCTACGAGATCCTCGGTGTGCAGAAGGATGCCTCTGAGGACGAACTTAAAAGATCTTACCGAAAACTTGCATTAAAATTCCATCCAGATAAGAATCATGCTCCCGGTGCCACGGAGGCGTTTAAAGGTAACCTTTGTGGTAAACCCTTTGAGCTATTTATTGACTATATTTACCATTCAACTTAAGGATCTGGTACTTGAACATTCTTTCTCACACTTTTAGATCAATGTCACACAACCACAATGAGAAGAATCATTTCATTGAACTGTCTTTGTGTGTGTGTGTTTTAAATGAGCAGCCATTGGGAATGCGTACGCCGTGCTGAGCAGCGACAACAAAAGACGACAGTACGACGCATGCGGCGAGGAAAGGCAGCATCCTTCCAGCCAGGCAGATAGCAACTTTGATGCGGATATTTCCCCTGAAGACCTCTTCAACATGTTCTTTGGAGGAGGTTACCCAGCGAGTGCGTCTAGCCGCTATCACTTTTCAACTTTCATTTATTGATTAACTCTTCAGCTTGTATTGTTGTATAGGTAGTCACCAAGCATACACAAATGGAAGGGTGCATCACCAGAGGCCACAAAGAAGAGAGCGACCACGAGACGTGAGTATTGTCTCAAAGCAATGTGCCGCTTTAGCCAACGGGAGTGTTTGAGTCATGTTTATGTGAAGCCATGTTGAGTTTGTTTTCTCCCCTTTAAAATTTGTGCATTTTCGTGTACCCAGTTTACCGTGGGGAATGCATTCAAGACTGTTTTTTTTTTTTCCTCAGAAGATAAAGAATGTATGCTTTGGAGCGCGCCATGATGCTTTTCAGATCCAAATCCACATGCCAATTGCTGAGATAATTTTTTTTTTTTATCCTTAGGGGGGCCTCGCCCTCTTCGTGCAGGTCATGCCCATCCTCATCCTGGTTATTGTGTCGGCTCTCAGTCAAATTATGGTCAAAGGCCCCACCTACAGCCTCAGCTATCGGCCGTGAGTTGAAAAAAAAAAAAAAAGAGGTTTTCCTTACTTCCAGAACTGTCACAGCGTATCTCCTTGTCACTTTGTCACTTGGCAGGTCGGCAGGCCACACGCAGAAGCGGCTGACGGAGAACCTGAAGGTGGCCTACTACGTGGCCGAGCACTTCCCCAAAGACGTCAACGACGGGAACCTCAAGCGCTTGGAGGAGACGGTGGAGGACGATTATATCTCCAACCTGCGTAACAATTGCTGGAAAGAGAAACAGCAAAGTACGTAGTAAACTCAATAAGTCTGGAACCAGGTAGAGTCATTTTCTTGTCAACGGATGATCGTCAATCATGGTTGCAAGAACAAAAACCAAAACGTCAACTCTGCACATTTTATTTACCTTTTGCATGTTTTTCTCTCTTGCGCAGAGGAAGGCATGCTGTACCGAGCACGCTATTTCGGTGACTCGGATCTGTACCAGAGGGCGCAGAGGGCTCGGACGCCGAGCTGCGCCAAGCTGTCCGAGATCACCGCCTCCTTACACGGCTGAAGTCGCATTGCCTCCCTCCTTATTTTTGCAAGTAAGGAAATAAACGTATTTAGCAAAGGAATGGTGGTAGAAGGAAAAGTCAGGAAGAATGCTTGGAAGGGATGAAGGAAGAAAGGAAGTAATACATATACCGGGTGGTTGGCTGAGTGGTTGATTGCTGATTGTTTATGTCGGCCAAAAAGATAACAAAAGGTGACAATTATTGTCTGTTTATTTTTATTTTTTTGTCCCTTCCAGACTGACCTAGCTGTAAATAGATGAGCTTCACTCCTGAAGACGACTTGACGTGGAACACTTGACTCAACGGCTCCTGCTAAACTGGTTAAAAAGTGACAAAGCAAAGGGTAAGGATTAGCTCCGGGGCACCAAACTGTGTTTCATAAGCCAGTGGCACGGCATTTCTTTTTGTGGGCGCATTTAATCAATAAGAAAGTTTGGGCATTCGGCTTCAGTTTTGCACCTTCGAAGCAACCCATTTGAATCTATGCAGAAATCATGCGGAAACACACACGTATTGCCCCAACACCTCACATATGTTGTCATTGATGTCTCGGCCACAGTAATGTGCAAAGGCTTTAAGACATTCACAGTTAGATTTCTTGTTTTAGCAATGCTAGCATGTCCATAAACAGTAAATTCTAAAATGACAGTCGTGTGAGTCGTGGGGGAGGATTTCGAATGAGTCACAGATTGTCCCAATCGTAACTTTAACCCTGAAGCCCCAAACACTAAACCCCGAGGCGAACCCTTTAACCAGTGGTGGTCCCATCTTGAACGGCACCCTGTGCGAGACCCCAACCCCACTCCACGACCACCACGAACAACCTGTTAGGCGCACACACCCGCCATCTCTTCTCGCATCTGTTTGACAGAAGGCGATTCCAGAAGGCCACAGATGGGTGCAAATTCCCCATACGAATGCCAATGATTGACATGTCACGATGCCAATAGAAGACCGTGTCTGATTTTTGGCACGTGTTCTGGCATTGACGGCAGACACCTCACTGAGAGCAACGTGCGGTGGGTCCGCACCACAAACAAGCATGTGGAAATGTTTGACTAAAAACAAGGCCAAGGACCAGAGACAAATATACAAAAATGGCCGCTTAGTCGATGAAACGAGAACCATCAACATTTTCCCGTTACTCTAACCTCTAACCTTGGCCTCCACCAAGGCCCAACTGTTCACAGCAGTTAAAAAAAAATAGAGGCGTGCCATTTGGCTACGTCTTGGTCTGTAACTCATTAAACGGCGATCGAAAATTCCGATAACTGCACCTTTATCCACATTGGCATCTTCCTTTGCCCATGTGCCAACCCTCAACAATCCGGTTTGCCTCTCACATATGTCTCTCGGCCTTTTTACTCTTGCTGAGGAAAAAGCTCATTCAAACAAGCCTGTTGGCGGATCGAGACCTTTGCACAATACTTCCTTGTTTTTAATGTTTGTCTCGGTTGGAATAATTGCATTGTCAGTCACCTGAAAACTCTTCCCACCGTGTTTTTACCGGGCGATATAGGGGAATGAAATAAAAAGTGGAAATGCTTAACAACGGCGTGGCAGCTTTGTCTTTCGGAGCTGAACAAACAAGACTTAAAGCGAAGCGCCGTGTCAGCACTTTTTCAAGGCCGCAGCTGGGCTCACTGCTCCCCGCACGTTCACGTTACTTGGCCGACGTGCCGCATGTGTTTGGCAGGAAGCGTAGTGTCATGTTCTCAAAAAGGCCTTCCTCCTTTTTTTTTTTTTTTTTTGGTGTGCATGTGTGTCGCTGGGCAGACTTCGACAACCTTCTCCTAAAGATGCAGATCATGCGCAGTTCATGAAAAATAACACTTCAGACTTTGGAGAAGCATGCATCACAGGTGCTTTTCACCTGCTTTGCACCTCCAATCTAATCCTAACTCCAAATTGTCATTATAATATACATACAGCATATATATGGGTGTTAACATGTCTCGTTTTGTAATATTCTATATATTTAATATTATACGCATATAATATGAATATAATGAGTATTATTGAAATCAGAAGAGAGAAAAATCTTGGCACTTCCTTTATAGGGCACTGCAAAATATTATTTGATTATATATATTCACAATACATGAAAAAAAAATGACTCCATTTGTTTAAAAAAATAATTTATTTTTTTTGCCATTGTGAAAATACAAAAAGCAAAACAAAATTTGTGCAAACAAAGTGCAATGTCATATGAGTATTTGAATATCAAATAAATTAGCGTCCACACGGGTATGGAATGACGTCAGACTAGAAGCTGTTATGATAAATGATGTTTTTTTTTTTGGGGGTTTTTTTTTCTTCAATGACTGTATAGCTGTAGATGCCATTTGGGCGGTTTCTGTAGAAACGGAGGTTTACGCTTGAGAATGCTTCACCTGTACCGTGGTAAGATCCTTCTCTGTTAGAAGGTTACAGTCATATTCAGCATTCCTCAATCAGCAGCTCCTCAGAACAGTACAGTTTCTTTTTGATGACACGGAATCCAGTGCTCAGCTTGATAGCTTGTCTTCCCGCTGGTACTTTGGAACTAAAAAGTCCTTGGATCTTGGGCCACAGCCCGCCGGACTCCAGCCTCAGTACCAGAGTTAGCTGAAAGGTGGGCACCAGGTACGGGTCGGCCGAGAGCTGCGCCACGCTCTCGCACTGCGGCCCCCGCTCCACGCACAGGTCCACCAGGGCGCCGCGCAGGCCGCACGGCTCGCTGGCCGCCAGGTGCAGGAGCTCGCCCCCGATGCGCTCCAGGAGCCGGTCGGGGATGAGGAGCTTGGCGCAGCGCAGGGCGCACGCCGAGTCTTTAGCCTCGCGCAGGCTTCGCTCGATCAGCTCCACCACCTCCTTGAGGATGGCCTCCTCTGTGGGGTTGTAGAAGAGGTCCTCCTCGGACATGTCGGACACTGTTGGGATCAGAAGGATAATGACAGTTAGAACCCGGAAAGAGAGAGAAAACATAAGGGAGGTGGAGAGGGGGGAAAAAAAACAACCCCGGCCTAAGATCAGGGGTTGTTTCTCTGCAAACTGGCACACATTAATGCAGTGTTCCGTCCTCTGATTGGTTCGTTTGCGCAAAATTCGTTCCAGCCAAATTTGACTTGCAAAACATATCCAGGTCTGCAAGCATTACAAAAGCCCGAGGTACTAAATTCTGCGTTTTACCCACCTGAGTCAGAGAGGTCGCTCCTGCTGCTGTTGTTGGATCTGGACTCCATACTGTCGGTCAGCCTTTGCACCAGGTTGCCCCAAGAAAGCCTCCTGGGACTGCCGTCCACCGGGGATGGGGGCAAGCTGCCACTTTGCACGTTTGAGGCACTCGAATGCATCGCCTGCGTTGGGGAAAAAAAAAAGAGGCGACAGGATGAGATGAATGTTGAAGTTGCTCAAGGGCTAACAAAGGGAACTTGAGGACAAAGAATGTCACTTTTCTACGGCGCCCTGGACATGACATTGGGGGATTTTTTTTTTTTTTTTTGGGGGGAACAATTCAGATATAACATGCAAAAAGAATATTTCGTTTTTGGCCGTGAAGTCGGCAATATGCACACAAAGTGCAAATCCTTTACAGTTATGATGAATAAGTTAATATCATTCGGATTCCACAATTGAATTTTCCCTTCCCCCCCATGTCATGTCTGGGGCTCCATACATTACAATTTTTTTTCCCCTAAAGGGTTTTTGGAAAGTCACTGTGCTGTCACTGTACTTTTTATTAAGAGCAGGATCCAAGCAGTCCAGTGCATTATAATAAAATATTAAATATACAGCTCTGAAATAAAAATTGACAATAAAAGAAAAAAACCTTGACCTTTACGGTATTTCAACCATTTTTATTTTTTGTTAATGCTCTGAAAGACACAATTTAGAATTCGGCTGTTGTAAATCGTTTCAACAAACTAACTAAATTATAAATGACAAAATCAGAAATATAATTTTGCAGTGGTGACTTAATTTTTTTCAGGGCTGTACATTAAAAATTTCTAGGATGAGGAAAGTGCACTGTGACTTTCCTAATGCAGCGTAATCAAATCTCAATAACAAAGTTCTTACCTTCCAAGACAAAGCAAAAATGTTAGTTATTCGAAGTTTTATTGTCTGCAGCAAGCAACCATCGGATAACTCCCTTGTCGTCTTCTGTACTTGTTAAGCAGCTGTCGAAAAGCTTTGCGGCTCCGGCTTACCCCGCAACAATGTTTTTATAGTGTCCTCGAGGCCACGCCTGCTCCCTGGGCCAGCCAGCCAATCAAAAACGAGAAGCAGGCCGAACATCTTGTTCTGAGCTGCATCTTGCCTGGTAACACGCCAGCAGTGAACAAAAAAAGAAGAAAAAACAGGGGGGCTAGTGTTGAATAGCAGACCCCGCTGCTGTGGAAATGTACAGGGACTTGCCTGGGCTTGTTGGGAACATATTTTAGAAAAATCTTTAGTTTTTATTTATTATCCAAGCGTGGGGGACATTAAATGGCTAAAAGTCGCGATCCGGTTCGGCTGGTAGCGTATACTGTACGGCTGCAAAGGCATGACATCACCTGTTTTGCTCCTAAAGCATTACATCACTTTTTTTTTCTGCTGCAGAGCCTCGAAAACAACACCGCAGCAGCATCTTAGTAAAATAAACAATAAAGCGCGCTGTTTTAACAAACATAGATGACATAGCATCTTAGTGTTCATGATGCACATCATGAACATAAATACTGCATGCGTAAAGCTGGTTTTTATACCTGCTAATTTATAATCACTGTACAAATGTGACCATTGAATAAGTGTTGTATATGCAAGCATTCAACATTCCACGTAGAATTTGACGCCATTGTATGCAGTGTTGAGAGATAACTAAGTGTAGTCCTTTTTTTTTTTTTACACCAGTTTCTGTACTTTCACCACCTCCGCTCTATACGCCACACTTATAGTCAAATGTTAGTAAATCGAGCCTTCAGAAAAACAAATTGGCCTGTAACGAAGCTCTAAGATTACTACTCTCTAGATGAGGGACTAGTGCAGTGGTTCATTTTTTTTCACCTACAAAAAGAGAAAACCTTGTACTGTACCTCTTCAGTGACCAATGTTAAAATACTATAGTGTAGGAGGCCTAAGTGGTAATTGTAAAATGATGCATAGTTTGAACACTAACATTGCAATTAAATTCAGGAAGCAAAAAAAAAAATTGTCAGGTAACGATTCCATGCAACTGTTTTTGCACATATTGTAAGAGTAAAAACGACAAAATCATATCGAAATAAAAGTTTTAAAACTATTCTTAATGTTTTATGTCTGTCTGTACAAACAGGATGTTCTATATCAATGTGTACCAATGACATTGCATCAGCCATCACCTGACTGTTCCAAAAAAATGTTGTGCTGCCTCTCAATGCCATAAAGATGACACTAGCAGCTGATTTGTTTATGAGCTGTGCACAGGGCACTCGATGGTCAAGTGGTTTGCATGCTTGCTTCACATTTTTGAGGTTTGGGTTTCGCGTCTCGTATGTTGTCCCTGTACCTCTGCTTCCTCTTACATTCAGAAAACACTCGTGTTGGGTTCATGAAAGGCTTGAAATCGGTGTCACAGGTGTCAATGTGAGTGTGAATGTTTGTCTATATGCACCTTGCCATTGACCGGCAACTAGTTTGGGGTCAGACGCAACAGAGGAGATGGATAGCGGCGAGATTGTGCATGCATAGTGTTGGGTTGCAAAATAGGAAGTTGGTGTGTGAGAGGAAGTTGGGAGCAGTTTTTTAGTGAGTACACGTGAGTGGGAGTGGCTGTTTAAACAAGACAACCACCACAAAGCACTCTGTGTCCCAATAGGGCGGGCGAGGGTGGGTTGGACTCATGTCTTACAGTGCGGTGTGGCCCACTGGCGACCCCCCAACAATTATGTAGGTCAATCTTTTCATAGAAGTGGTGGTCGTGTTTTTTTTTTTTTTTTTTTAATACATACTCACATAGATATATAAGCAGATATACGGTTATGTGAATGTACACCCGATTCAAGTTCAGCTGTTCTAGTAGGCTTTTGTCATCGCACAATACAGCACACGGCACATCATTAGATTGATGTAACTTTTCAAAGGTGTCAGTCATGAGAAAGGGAATTCAGCCACGCTTTAAATATAAAACAGTGACGATCGTCATCAAGTGGAGAAAATATGGTACAAGTGACGTTATTACAGAGAACTGGATGTCCCTCCAAAATAGGTGACAAGACGAGAAGAAAACTGGTTAGGGAAGCTGCAAAGAGGCCGACAACAACACTGGAGGAGCTGCAGGAATTTCTGGCAAGTACTCGCCGACTGAGCACACGTGACACCATTCTCCTGTCTTCATCAAGACGGCAGCAGGAGAGCAGAACGGAAGGCTAGCCAAGCTACATTTTGTAAAAACACTTGAAAACATAACACCGGTTGTCACTAAAAGAACGCCATACCTACAGTGAAGCATGGTAGTGGTTTTACTATTCTGATGTTTTAGGGTCTGTTATTCTTCAGCTGGTAGTGGTTGTCTTTGTTTCGGTGGAGGGAAATACGCACAAGTTGCAGTCCGCGTTTGCACAAAATCTTCAGCTTTCTTCGAGAAAGCCGCCCACTGGAATAAGTGAACTTTATTTGGCGTTAAGGTGTGTATATTATTATTTTGTGTGTGTGTGTGTCTGCATTGAAACTCCAAACTTGACTATATTTACTTGAGAGTGAGCTTTTCATTCCTGACACCCGACTTCTTAGAAAGTGTTGTCGAGCACGCCAATGTTTTTAACTCCCTCCTTGGGATTAAATTCCAACCGCGTCCAGAGGCGTGCCTTTGCCAAGCGCCTGGACTGCTCTTCTCCAAGTGTGACGGGACATTCTGTACACTCCACCCCCACCCCTCGCTGCGAAGAAAAAAAAAAAAAGCACACACGCGCTCATTCACTTGGGGGGGAACAAAACATCGTGTTTGCTCGCTGTCAACACGGCACGTCCGCTGATTGAAACAAGACCTGTGACGCCACTCCTCATTCAACTAGAACATGTTTGTGTGTGAACGGGCGCAGTCAAGAGTGCAAAAACAAACGGCAGCTGACCCGAAGAATGTACTTCTTTTAATTACGTGCATGAATGGATTGTTTGCGACGGCTTCTGTGACATTCATTGGTGGAAAGTAGCAAAGTACATATTTCGTGACTGTACTTTGAATTGTTGTTATTCATTCCTTGACAATGCTCGCAACTCGTAGCACTCCTATTTGAAATCAGCTTTGCCTATTAAAAAAGAATGCAAATGCCTTTAATCCATTCCAGTAAGGTGAAACCTTTTTTTTAAAAAAATAATCTAATTGTGATTTATTTTCTCAATATTGCGATTGTGATTTATGTGATTATTTTTTCAAGGTCCTCTTCCCATGTATTTTTTTAGCAAACGCAAGCAAATAACCTTATTGACAATACAAAATATCAGATCATTATATATACATATATGTACAAGAGTTGAATCAGGACTTCTGCTTTTACCAACATCCTTTTTTTATACAAGTACTTGTAGTTATATTCAAGAACAAAGTGTAAGTACTTTTGCCACCGCTTTTTATTAGATAAAATACACACAAAAAAAATCCTTGATGTCCAAAACCCCAAAAGGCGTGTCGGTATGCGCTTTTGTTTACGACGACGTGAACCCCAAGAGCTGTTCGATTGGCTTGTACCGCCACTCGTCCGCTTCCAGCTCCTCGACCAGGCTTGCCAGCTTCTCCATGCGGGAAACTTGTTGATCTGCCGAGAGATCAACAGTCAGCAAAACAAAACAAACAAAAAAAAAAACACATACATTTAGTCATGTGTTTCAGTCACGTACCGTGTTTGACCTGCTTTAGTGCCGACGCCACTTGGTAGCTGAATACCGACTCACATAAAAACCTATCTGAGCCATCTGCAAAGGGGAACGAATACAAGGGCGTTAGGCAAACTGCAGCACATGGACCCAACAAAACCACAGAGTAAGGCTGAAAGGTTGGCTTAAAAAATGTTATGATTTGTGTAACAAGCTTGTTCCTGAGTTACTGCTGCTTGAATAAAGTGAAAACAATAATGGGGCAAGAATGGAACCCTCGCCCTTGCATGTGGACAAGGAGAGCCATTCAACAATAAGGCTTCAGACGTTTTTTGAATGTAACAAATTGTCTAAAAACACAAATACAAAATGAGAACATTTGCAAAGAGCTGCTGTTGGCCACAACACGGATGTCACGTGCATACTGCGGGATGCATACAGGATGCATACCTTCCATCATTTCACCAGCTCCTTTGGGATAAGTGTACAGGACCTTCCTGGGAGGGATAAGTTCGGAGGCGCTGAATCCCGAACCAGTCACCGAGCTTCCGCTCACGCCTCCGGCCGAGGAGGACGAAGAAGACGCCGCCATTGCCTGCGCAACATTTTTGGAAACAAGCGCTTGTCACTTCAGCAGCATTTGGATCTAACACTAGTATGAAAGGAAACGGCCCTCATGAAAACACAAAAGTTAGCTCGAGCTAGCTGTAGTTAACAAGGAAAGCAGCCGATCGAGAATATGGCAATGAACGCTGTCACCTCGTTAAACATCGCAATTGGATCATGTTTTAAAGTTACATACCGCCAATGCACGTGATAACGTGAAAACTGATGATGAATTCGCCCAGCTGATGCTGTCGTTTGTTTATATGAACAGAGACCTTGGTTGCGCTTTACGACAAAAACGACTGTTTTACGGCAAATGACTGAACGCAAAGACAGTGGATCTAAGCTTGGACACATTTAATATGGCGGCGACGCTGACGTGCGCGTAAGCGCCAAGGCGTTATCTATATTCTTCTCTGAGTTGTATATACAGTATGTGTACAAGCTAGCTAGTCGTGTGTTGACGAGCACAAGCAATTGAAGAACTTAAGAATTTGGATTGGATCGCTCTTCGATATTTATCGCGGCCTCTCGTTGATAACATGGACGTTTTACGTCCTCCTCTAATTAATATAAATGGCAGAATATACCGAAGAAACGTCGTTCAAGAAGAACAGTATGAGGAGGAGGAAGATTTCGCCTACATGGGACCACCTGGTAAGTTGTCACAGGCAATATAAAATTTGGAATCAAAATTGATCGAAATGAATGGTCAAATTTGTGGTCCACCAAGTAATGATACAAATGATTATTTTTGGTGCAGAGAGCGAGGAATTCGAAGCAGAGGACACTTGTGATACTCACTTGATTGAACAAACAGAGAGAGGATTCCGTTGTGCCATCGATGTGCCAACTGTCCTGTACAAGTGAGTCATACAAAAGTATAGAAAGCTCATGTACTTCTGTGGGAAATATGCACCTTTGTGGTTTGTCTTTTTTCGACAGATACATCATTGGGAAAAAGGGTGAAACACGTAAGCGCCTGGAGTCGGACACAAAGACGTCGATTAACATCCCCAAGCAAGGGATGGAAGGACAGATAGGTACAACTATTATTGGAGTCTCACTGGAAATTAGCCTGTTTTGAGGGGGCGGCCATGTTATATGGAAGTGAGCCACTGTTCACTCCATCCTCGCTCCTGCTTGGGCCAGTCCCACATAGGGCTCTTGTTACATGGGCAACATGTTGAGCTCCAAGTCTAAAAGTAATTATTTTTTATGTTTTTGTTTTCCCCGACCTCACAGTCATCACAGGGCCACACAAAGCTGCGGTCTCCTCCGCCATCACGAGAATCGAGGTCCTTGTTGACAATTTCCGGAAGAAGCAGCCTTTCACGCACTTCTTGTCATTCCCCCTCAATCACCCCCAAATCCAAGAGGGATTCTTAAGGTTTAAAGACGATGTCTTGGAGCAATGTTCACAGGTATCAAAAACATGCAGCGCATCAAGAAAGTATTCCCAGAGCTTCACTTTTTCAGACAGTTTCTGTATTTTATGATTATTATTATTTTGAGCGTGTAGGATCACGGACTAGATGAAAGCATCTTTCAGAACCCGGCAAAGCTTCACCTGACTGTCGGCACCCTCACGCTGTTGGACGAGTCGGAGGTGAGGAAAGCTTGCGGGCATCTCCAGGACTGTCAAAACTTTATCAGGTATGTTGTTCATTTGGATATCGCTTTAATAAATACAAATGAAAAAAATAAAACCCCTAAAATTTTCTCTCAGGGACATCACTGGGGGGAAGCCGTTGCCTTTACAGGTGGCAGGCATTGAGTATATGAACGACGACCCGGCCATGGTGGACGTCTTATACGCTAAAGTCAACGTGACGGATGGCTCTGATAAGTAATGAGAGCACCACAAAAAAAAAAAAAAAGTCAGTTTCTTGGCATTGAAATTTACAGTGGGATGGTTGTGGTACAGATTGCAGGTGATTGCAGATCGTCTGGTGGAATATTTTGTCTCCGTGGGACAGATGGCAAGAGAGTGGGACAGAGTCAAGCTGCACGGCACCGTGATGAACACCCTGTTCAGAAAAGACACAACAGGTGTGTAAACATGGCAATGCCACACAAAGGGTGGAGACTTAGATTTATTGTTCGAAAGTCTGAGATGCCATTGAGGTGTCTTTGAAATTTCCAAATCGCTGATCAAAAATCTTCTTCACAATCTTTCATGGAAAAAAAAAAAAAAACAGTCCCCCACTCTCCGAAGATATTTTAATGGTTTCTCCCAAGTCCAAAAAATTACATAGGTTTCTTTGACTTGGCTCCCGTTTTTGCGACATCTCGAAATGTTGATGATTGATCACCAATATGCTTTGACAGGATATGAAATGTTCTTTGATCATGACTAAAAGTGAAAAAGCAACAACAGAAAATATCTTGCCATTTGTGAGGGGCCAAAGTATGTAAGTGTTCATTTCCTGCGTTGTTTTTTTGCATTAGGCTGAGGTACAAAAAAAAAAGTCAACATGTTGAGCATGTTTCACTGTAGCCAAGTCGAGCTGCGATGTCGACACACATGGCCGTCGGACAACAAATTCCTCAAGAGACGCTTGTGGCATGCGCAAGCTCCGTTTACACCCACAGCATGTTTTCCAAGTCCTGACAAAGACTCGATTCATTTTGACCTCGGATCAAGCCGTCCTCAGCCTCCAACGTTCCCAAGCATTTCTGAACGCAGCATGTTGACCAACCAGCATGTGGTCAACTCCAATTATAGCCTTGAAATAACCTTGTTTTTTTTTTTTTTTTTTCCTGCCCACTGCATCAGCATGTGAGCCAGACAATTTGATCCCAAGACACTGTGACGATACAAAACTCTTCTTTCCCATTTTGCTTCTTCCCCCCCCAGCGGAAGACGCCAGCGGTTCGGCAAGACAAGGCCCGAACGAACGAGAGGCGTTTGATGCCAGAAATGTTTTAAAGGTTAGAGGAGCACGCAGTCATACATTTAATTTACATCGTAAATCCACATTAACGAAGTCAAAGCCCTTTTTTTGTGTGTGTGTGTTTTGTTTTTGAATGCAGACGTTTGGATCTTATCATTTTGGAGAATTGGATCTGAACACGGTGTCGCTGTCGCAACGATATTCAGCCGACTGCATGGGCTACTACGCGTCTGCGGGAAGCATCAGCTTCTGCTGAGGTAGCCGTGCCCACGGACTGTTCCAAGCCTTGAGTTATTTTTATTTGTTTTCTTTCCAGCGTGACACTCGGCCGTCAGACTGCAACGGTGCTCTGAGGGATTTTGTCCAGCTGGGGGACAGCAGAGGCTGTCGTTTCCCCTTCTGAAAAACATTTTGAGGCCAAAGAGAGGGCGACCCCTGAATGGCAGCGCGGAATTCAGACAAACCAAAATCATGTAAACAACAATTTAACCTCCTTGGCAGAGTGGACTTATTATCTAACTGTGATTTGGGAGCTCGCGTGGACTTGATACAGACTATTTTGATCTCTGTGTTGGCTTCACCTGAAGTCCCACTTGGAATTGCCGCATGACCCAGATTGAGTCCCAACTTTAGCATCCAGCTGTCAGTGATGAGTTTTCTCCGTTAAGACCTCGCCAATGAATTTCAACGTCGCCGAAGCACACACACGCGTGTAAATTGTCGCCTGTGACAAGAACGGTTGTTCCGGTGCAAGTTCTGAAACCTCTTTTTGCCACATAGAAGTTGCCTTTTTGGATGTTGGGACCCATCAGGAAGACAGCGATGGGTTCATATCAAAAGATGATTTCACTCATGCTGTTGTATTGGATTGGAAAATAGTGCAATGATATCACGACTGGTCAACATGGAAATCACATGTGAATAAAGAGACAAACATGTTTATTAAATGTCATAGAGTAAGTCATTTTTAAAAAAGATGACCATGTATAGTCATGCCTTTTTAAAATCACAACCACGCATAGAAAGCTGTTTTAAAAACCATGATCACAAACCCTTAACCTGCCTTGCATGTTTTGGGAAAGTGGGAGGAAAGAGGAGGACCTGGAGGAAACCCACACAGCGAACATGCAAACTCCACACAGGAAGACCAAAGCCGGAATCGAACCCTGCACTTCTGTACTGAGAAGTCGATGCACGAACCAGTGGACACGGGCCCCAGCTAAAAAAAAAGTGTAGTTTAAATATATATTTTTCTGAAGGCCAGCAAAATCATCTGGTGGTGGGCATGCGCAAAGAAATTTGGAACATATTCAAATAAGATTAGCGTGCGGTAATTTTTGACAAATACATCTTGGTTTCTACAGCGCTGACACAATGGCTGCAATAAAGCGCCTTCCAGAATTTGGGCAAATTATCTTCTCCCCATCCAACGACACACAACCTTCCCATTGATGCATTTTTGTAGTTCGGTAAACTTTGTTTTGGAGTTGGTGGGGGAAGCATGTTGATTGGTGTATATTCCCAGAGACAGTGACTACTTTGAGGGGGAAATGTATTGGGGCCTTGCAGAAAGTCGTCCCATGTTTCCTCCCCAATATTAAGTTTGATTTCACCATGATTCTTTGGGTGTTGCAGGTTCTTCAGCCTCCGGACCTTGTTGAGACCTGCACAGACCAAAACCACCCAGACGAGACTTGGGTCTCAACTATTCTAACGGAGTTGCCCTTTTCAACAAAGCATCTTGAAACAATGAACAAAGTTGGCTTCCATGTTTGGAAGTGTGTGTTTACGAATGTTTTATTTGTGACTGAAGCAGACAAGAAATGTGTGTTTTATTCAAGCACTTTATTCACGATCGCCAATAAAGCAAAGTAACAAAACGACACTGTCTATCTCTTTGTGATGCTCGTCTTCAATTTCAAACCAAGTTGGCTTTGCAAACTCCCTCTCCTGATCTCAGGATGGCATTATGAAGGGAGCGGAGGGGAGAAACTGGTGAGGTTGAGGGCGAATGGGTTAGGTTTGAGTGCTGTCATGAAGTTGAGGGGCGAAGTTTAGAACACAAGAGGCCACTCACTCACTCACTCCACGACAGATGCCAACCATCTTAGCTCACGTGTAGGTGTTGACCTATGGTTACAAGTAATTTTTTCGAAATTTTCGCGGCAGGATGGCCTAATGGTAAAAGACGACGCGTGGTAGTCAGCGACCCGGGTTCGAGCCCCACTGCCTGCTACATTTATAAATTGAGCAAGAATCGAACCCGGGTTGCCCGGGGACCACGTCAGGTCTTTATCCATTCGACCACGCAGATAGCTTTGGTTGTGTTTTGGTTGGTCGTATTTAAATGACCTTACAAATACTTAAAACGGTTCAGTATCTGGTGACAATAATTACATATGTAAAAGTGACCGACTTTGTCAGTCTATAGCTCAATGGTATACGACCGGGAGGCCCGACTGGTGAATTCAAGTTCGAGCCCGGTTGTTGGCACTAATGACTTAGGTTTTTTTTTCCCTTCACCTTCACGTTTTACGTCATATAGATGTGAAAGAAGCCGGGCTCGTTGTCAGACATTGGCCGAATGGTATACGACTGGGAGTCACGCCTGGTGAACTCTAGTTCGAGCCCGGTCCTAAGCACTTCTGTTTTCCACCTTCACATTCACCTTTTCTGTTATATACATGTAAAAGTGGTCGGTATAACTATCAGATAATAGTACAATGGTGTATGAATGGAAGTCCCGACTAGTAGACTCAGGTTCGAGCCCAGGTCTTCGCTTACTTTTTTAAAATATTTTCTTCCGCCCCGGAAGTGACGTCACCGCCGGAAACCTATTTAAACGGCGCCAACGAGGCAATCATTCTTTCTCACCTTCGACAGCCTCCGCTCGTCCACACGCTGCTCCTGCTCCGCACGCCTGTCCACAAGATCACGCAGAACTCCAACAAGGTGACTTTTTACTCTTTAATAGCTTCTTAAAACACTCACATTGAATGCAAAGCAGCACTTTAAACTTGCTCGCACCTGGCAAACATGCAAAGCAAAAATGTTTGCTCGAGCATTGCAATTAACGTCTCCTGCGACCTTACTTTGCAACAAACGCTTTTTTTCCCCCCCCAACTTCCTAGGAAAGCTACGTTCG